CCATCCCACAAAACCGTTGGGGGTCACCCATCCCATAAAACCGTCCGAGGTCACCCATCCCATCATGTTAGATATATCTGTGGTCCGTCTGAAGTCACTTGAAATTACCAACCACTCCCATGATCTATATAAAGAAGAAGAGGCTGAAATAAATTCTTCATGAATCAACAAAATGGATAATTACGGAAGCAGTGAGGATATTTTAGACAATGAAGAAAAAAACTTTAGAAACTTTTTGAAGGGGGGAGCAATTGTCAAAAAACGGATTGATAAGTATATTGCAGATAATAGGGATTCTCTGTCCTGTGACTTTTGTAAAAAACAATACTCTCTGAGAACTAAATTTGTACACGAGAAACACTGTCTGGTGAGACTGGCCAAGGAATCGAAAATTGATCCCCTAAAGATGTCAACTTTTTGCTTGCGCGCTTGTGATCTTGGAGTATGTCTTTGAAGGAACCAATGGAGTTCTCAGAAGTCCTGAAAACTATCATGGCCGATCGTGTGCCGTACGACGTCATGGAAGCTGCTCGTTACGAATCTCTTTTTGAAAGTTACTATAACGGTACGATGACTTTCTTATGGCCTGATGGAACGTGGCGACACGAAGAGTATTTGGGCGATTGGACGCCCAGTGAACAACAAATTAGTGCATAGACTTAGGCATCTCGTCATATTCATAATTAGTTTGTATAAATAAATTGAAGGAAGAGTGAATATTAGTATTTTAAATCTCTCTCTCTCTCTCTGTGAACAACCACTCCTTTAGTGAAACAAAATAAAACCAATGCAAAAGAAAATTAATTTAATGAACATGTTCATATAATTGCGATTCCTTATGAAGAACGGAAAGGAATGTGGATGCAATATGCTGTTGACAGGGCTCATTTTAAAAGAAGAATTGATCATGTCGAGATATTGTTGTCACCAATCCTACTTCAAAAACTAAATAACATCAAAATGTCTGCGGTCAAGTGTAATTAATATTAAAAAAAAAAGGAGTGACGAGGACTGTCGTGTATATAAACTGAGGTGATTTTTGCGTAAGACATCATACCTTTTGCTGAAAATGGAAAGACAATTAAGAAGAACAAAATTGCAATGGAACAGAATGTGTAAATTTTTTTTAATGTTTTAACCAATCGAAAAGAAGAAGAGCTGCTGATGCACATTACACGTCTGATGAAATGCGTTAGAAGCGCACTTGCTCTTAAAACACAAAATTATGAAAAGAGATAATATTAAAGTGGGTGCTTCAGACTGGAGAAAACTTAAAGATCTAGTGGACGAGTTTAGGGAACTGTCAGAAAAAATTGATTACAGTCTTCACTGGCTTATTCATAGAAAAGAAAAAGTACGTCATGGAAATCCGCTTTATGTGTTGAGAGAAATGGCGGATACTGTGAAAGATATTATGAATATATCAGAAACTCTTCACTACATTAAAAAATAGTGAAAGAAAAACTAAATACTATCAAAATGTCTACGGTCAATTCAGTCTACAGTCAGGATTTACTATTATCTCCAAGAAAAATGTCTACAGTCAATTACGTCTGAGATCAATTCCGTCTGCAGTCAGAATTGTCTGCAGTCACTTTTTTTTTTAAAGAAAAAATCCTTTTTATGAAAAGTCTACGGTTAATCAAGCACGTGACAATTTTGTTATAAAAACGGGTTTATTGTAAAAATTTCCAACATATCTGAATTGATCGTGGAAGAAGCATCACCCTCTCTTCAGCAAAGATGGAACAGAAACATCAGGACATTATCAAAGCAAACTACACGACTTTGGTGAAAAAAATGATGACCTCTTCCGTTGCTGGGCATCTCTTTGCCTCCAACATTATAACCGACGAGATGAGACAGCAGATTGAAGCCGAAAAGACCAGTTATGATCGTAACAGAAAGCTAATAAGTATCATTCTACGCAGAGGACCAAAAGGTTTTACAGGTCTTCGAATGGCACTTATGAAAGCTAACCAAACAGACTTATCAAAGCTTCTCTCAGCAGTGATAATAACATGTCCGAGTACGAAAAGAAGTTAGCCATGGCCAGGTCGCTGGTTGTGAACATGTCAGAAAAACGAATTATTAAGACTGAGCCGAAAAGTAACCCTTCAGAACAACAAAACTCACAAGAAGAGCGGTGTAGAATCAGTCTGGATGACTTCAACGATCTTTTCCTTACAGCCGTGCCATTCAAAGGGGATATCAATATTCACATCCATCACTTTACAGAATCTAACGGTCGTTATTTTGCAACAAAGAAGGGGGTGACATTCCCGTTGTGCCGATGGCTGAAATTTGAGTCTCTTCTAACAGATATCGCCAACTTTCTGCAAAACAATGAAGCTGATGAAGAGATGAAATGGCATATTGGAGGGGTTGTCTTCGTCTCTGTTAACCCTGGGTATACCTCAGTAGACATTAGGCACTCTTGGAAGCCAGACGATGCCCTAGAACCGGTACCAACCAGAAAAGGTGTGTCTTTGAACAAATACAAGTTGACTAAATTACTACAAGCCGTTGAAGAAGTACGAGAATATGTTCCCGAATTAAATGATACAGAACTGTGTGCGTTCAGCGAGTCCCATCAAAATCAGCTTGGAATGTTAAGTTGTCCAGAGTGTACTCCTTTTGGATATAATCCGGCAGAAGATGTGTCCATGGAATGTAATGTCGGTGACTTAAAAGACTCACATGCAATCGAAAGTAATTCTGAATAAAAGTGATATTGAATAAAAAAGAACTCTTAAATTATTTTGTTATGAGTGACTAATGTAAATACTTATATGTATCCTTCTTTATGTACATGTATAATAAATACTTTTAATTTCATAATAAATTATGCATCTGAAAAAAAAATTCTATTCTTGTGTTTGATTCCGTACATAATACAAAACTGAGAGGAAATAATCAGTTCGGTACAAGACGGCAAAGTACACAGACTATTTGAGAAAGCTATACTATACTCCCGGAAATCCAGGTGCATTTGCAGGTCCTGAGAAACTTTATCAGGCTGTAAAAAAAGAAGGAAAGCATAAAATTGGAAGAATGAGAATCAGACAATTTTTGAATAACGAGGATCCCTACAGTTTGTTGAAACCTATCCGTCGGTCATTTCCACGCTCTAAGGTTGTAGTGAATACGATTGACTCCATGTGGGATGGCGATTTAGCCGATGTCAGCAACATTTCTTCCGAGAACGATGGTAATAAATTTTTGTTAGTGTTAATAGATATATTCAGTCGCATTTTATTCATAGAACCTTTGAAAAATAAGCAGCATCAAAACGTCACAGAAGGTTTAAAATCAGTTTTTCAAACAGGACGAAAGAAGAGATAAAGGGAGCAAATTTAAAAATCGCTGGGTAAAAGCGTTTTTTAAAAAAAGGAGGGTGTGCATGTCATATACACCCAGAATGAAACTAAAGCAAACTATGCTGAAAGAGTTAATCGTACCATGAAAAATCTTATGTATCGTTATTTTCTGAAAAATAGAACATACCGTTATGTTGAAGTTTCACACCTCATAGATCTCTAGGGGAGCAAGCACCTGTAACTGTCACCAAGGAAAATGCAGATGAAGTGAGACTCATTTCCTATCTCAGTACGTGGAAAAAGAATCCTGTGAGCAAAAACAAGTTGGAAAAAACAATCAAATCGTTCAGTAAAAAGAAAAGGACTAAACCAATTTTTAAGTACAAAATAGGAGATCATGTGCGTATTTCACAGCTTAAACATCCATTTCAAAGAGACTACCAGCAAAAATGGACTGAGAGTATTTTAAAGTGTCTAATCGCTACAAGAGAGCTGGTATACCTGTGTACAAAATAAAGGATTTAGCCGATGATCCAATAGAAGGCACTTTTTATGAATCGGAACTTCATGAAGTCGGGAGATATTCTGTATAGAGTGGAAAAGGTGTTGAAAAAGAGAAAACGCGGTAATACAAAGGAAGTGTACGTAAAATGGGACGGATGGCCTAGTAAATTCAATTCGTGGATTCCCGAAAGTTCTCTAGAAAACAGTTTTTTTCAACGAATTTTCATCCGTCAAGATGAGCCTTCGAATGGTGTTGAGGTCTACAGACAGCTCCAAATATTTTGACAATAAACCCAATTGTTTTCGAGTTCACTTGAATAAACAAATTCAATTGGATGGATACTGGACAGTTGCTTTAACAGAATTTACTACAGAGAGTTGGGATCCAGCCAAGAAAACTCCCGATGTGTACATATGCTGTGACATATGTGAGGAAACCATTGTTGGTGGCAAGGACGTACCCCTCTTACGACGAGTTTTTCTTGGAGAAAAACAGGAAAACATCATCTACACGTTACCTTATTACCTTCCCGTCAAGATTGGTCAATTACAACAGATCTGTATATATATAACGGACAGAACAGGCAACTTAGTGTCATTGTTAGACGGAATGGTGAGCGCTACACTTCACTTTAAGAAATTCCCTTACGTTTTATAATGAATAGTCAGACGTACATTAGTGACCCTAAAATCTGGGAAGCTTTTTATAAAAACATGGCAGAGAAAAAGTTCAACCCGTACAAATATAAACCCAAACAGATTGGAAGGGGTATGAGAAAACGAAAATCTTACGTAATTCCCATTAGACCTCATTGATTGTTAGAATCCGTTAACCCTATTCCTCAAGTGACACCCGTGGCTGCGGTGTAAGAGAGAGCCAAATCGGAACATGTAAAAGACGTAAAAGAAGGCGTTCCCTTTATCAAGGTCACCAAGGGTATAAAAAGACCATCGCAGCACTCCTCTGTCATTCCTACTAAAAAATTAAAGACGTCAACATCGCACAAGAGGAGGAAGGGCAAGAAAATCAATCTTGTGAAGAAAAAAACAGTCTCGAAAAAGGAAAACAAACGGAAGATCTAAAAAGCGACATACATCTGGAGGAAAAAAGACATCACAAAAGCCAAAAAAACTCTTTAAGATCGATAGATACAAGAACGTTTTTAAGCAGTGAAGATGGCCTTCTTAAGCAGTGATAATAAAGACATAGCCCAGCCAATGGAACTTTCTCTCTTTGCTTCACCCACTAATCAAGTAGCAGTCGAAAAAGTGTACTTAACTGAAGCCAGACCGATTTCCAGTATTGGAGTGTCAGATACCCCCATAAAAATAGTTGTATCTGGATCGGGAGCGGAATATATCGATTTAAAAAGAAGTCGATTGTATGTAAAAGCCAGAATTTTAAAAGCGGATGGTTCCTCATTAGCGGCCAATGAGAAGACTGGAATTGTGAATCTACCATTGCAAAGCATGTTTTCTCTGATGGATGTCTACTTAAATAATAAGATGGTTTCCTTTAATACGAATAATTATCTTGGAAGCATACCTGAAAACAGTCTTGTTTGGTGGAAAAGAGGAATTATCTTCCCCAAAGCAGTCCCAGTTGTTTTTTAAGGACGAAGGAAATTTGGGTGACGCGAACGCCTACGATGGTGGCAATGCTGGACTAGTCCTGCGCTATGGCTATACACAGGAAAGTAAAGTATTTGAACTGGAGGGTAACCTGATGGAAGATATTTTTGACATCGACAAATACCTGATCAATGGTGTAGATATCTACATCAAGCTTTTTAGATCTAGTGCACCTTTTGTAATGATGTCAGCAGAGAGCACCCCGGCTTACAGACTGGAATTACTAGATGTCGTGTACAAAGTGGCCAAAGTGCGAGTAGATCCTGGTGTTCTATTGAACCACAGCAAGCAGATAGAATCTACCCCTGTAAAATACACCATCTCAAGAAATGAATTGAAAATGAACACCATTCCTAAAGGATCTACTGAATTTTACTGGGACAACATTTTTCCTCAGGCAGTACCCGACCGCATCGTTGTAGGATTGGTAGATCAGAAAGCTGTAAATGGGGATTACACTACCAATCCGTTTAATTTCGAGCATTTTGGTGTAACGGATGTAGGGATATACGAAAACGGAGAAAGCGTCCCAGGAAGACCCTTAAAAACCGATTTCACGACAGGGCATTATTCATCCGCATATGCTCGACTGTTTGAGGTTCTCTGGAAAATGGAGTCAAGACGCCGGTCTAGTAATTACTCGAGACAACTTTGGAAGTGGATATTCTCTGTTCGTCTTTACCACAGATCCCTGCGGTTTTGGTAAAGAATATTTAAACCTGATTCGAAGAGGAAACACCAGACTCGAACTAAAGTTCAAACAAGCAACAGCAAAAGCTGCCAACGTTTTGGTGTTTTCCACCTTTTCCTCTCTACAAGAAGTGGACAAGTCCCGGGACATCAATTACATTCAACCATGAATTCAAAACAGCTCCTCGATGTTGTGCACAATGAACCTGTCCTAAAACGATTTGTAAAAGGAGTATATGCCAGTAATACTTTACCGGAAGTCGTGACGCATTACCTGTAGTGCTATGACACTGTTTTCCTTTCATATTTCTCAAACTGTCACATTCATTTCCCATCATTTATTTCCATCAACATAGGTAAAGGAAATGGTAAAGGAAAGGGAAAAGATTGACTACAACAAAAAAAATAAACAGAACTTACAATGCTGTACATTATATAAATATGACCGAAATGATGCACCATACGACTGACTGATAATACTGAATACAATAAATATGAATACTTTATGTAATAAACTAGTAATGCATGATGGTGTTGAATAATTTAAGTGAATAGAAATGTATAAATGACGTTAACATCTAACGTGTGAGAACGCTAATTTACATCATATACTCAAACTGAAGATTAACCTTGTTTACTCCAAAAATACAGTATACAAAAAGATATGAAGTTAACACTGCATTTATACAACCATAAAAAGGTAATTACCGTGATTATTTTCCAACTCATCCAAAAATCTAAGGTAAAACAGCTCAAACTCACTACAGCTTTGGGTAAACATCGAAAAATCGTGCAAATATGGCGGGTTCACACGTCAAGATTGAAAATTCATATTCTGACAAAATTGGATAAATAAATTGATGCGGATAAATTTGGACAATAATATAATATCAATCTTACACCGGCCCCTAAAATATGGTCCTACACAGAACATATTTTACAATTTTCCAATGAGCAATTAACATCTTTAAACATGTGAAACAATTTAGTCTCTGTCATCCGACTCCAACACAAGACACAGTTTCATTATTGGACGTGTAAGAATATTAGACACAGTTTTCACTTTCACAACACGCACAATATTATGTCTGTCTTTTTGAACCTCCAGAACTCGTCCAAGATTCCAATAATTCCTTGGGCCATTTTCAACAATAAGAACCAAATCACCTTCTTTAACATTGCGTCCCTCCGTTAACCACATCTGCCTGCTCTGAAGAAGGGGTAGATACTTTTAATCCATCTTCTCCAGAAGATGTCTGCGAGATATTGGATCTGGCGCCATCTACGTCGAACGTAGTTGTCCATCTGTGAAAAAGTTCCAGGTGGGCAAGTTTCTCCAGATCTAAGAAGTAGCAAATGGTTTGGGGTCAAAGCGCTTAGATCACTAGGGTTATCTGATGTGGGCGTCAAAGGTCTTCCATTGAGAATTGCTTCAACTTCACAGAACAAAGTTGTGAGTCCTTCATCGTTCAGATAAATAGTTTGTTCATGTAAAACGGAAAATATCACCTTTCTTACGGATCTGATAAGTCGTTCCCAGACACCTCCGAAATGTGATGCTGGGTTAAACATCCAATCTATCCCTGACTGCAACAAATGAGAATGAATTTGGTTAACGTTCCATGTCTTGATAGCTTCTCTTAATTCCTTTTCTGCACCCACTAAATTTGTACCATTGTCTGATCGGATAAATTTAGGTTTTCCTCTCCTTGCGATGAATCTGCAAATAGCATCAATACATGAATCTGTATCCAAAGAGAATGACACTTCAAGATGGACTGCTCGTGTATTAAGACAGGTAAATATTACACCATATCGTTTCACCATACTCCTTCCTCTCTTCAATTCAAATGGTCCAAAGTAGTCCATACCTACACGGGTGAATGGGGGATCATCTGTTTCCAATCTTTCAGAAGGTAGATTGGCCATTTTTTGATGCATTGGAGGAGACTGGTATCGTCTGCATATAACACATTTTGAGATAAGCGATTTTAATACAGATGAAATACCGGGTATCCAAAACTTCTCTCGAATGACTGCTAAAGTAGCATTCTTGCCCATGTGTCCTGCAGATCTGTGGGCATCTATAGCAATCATCCTAGTCAGTGTGGAATTTTTTGGAATGATCATCTGATGCTTAGTGGTAAAAGATGCGTTTAGCTTTTCTAGTCTGCCCCCGACTTTGATGACTCCTTTATGTAAAATAGGATCTAATCTAGAAAGCTGTGACGATTTTTTGACATATCCATGTTTGTCTCCAAGAATTTTCAATTCATTTGCATAATACTGTCTTTGCTCATATGCCACAAGTTCTCTTTCAGCTCTGTCGAGGATATCAGTACTGAGAAAAGGAATCGCTTTTGCCTTCTTGGACTCCTTTACTCTTGTTTCACTTTCCACTCTCTCAATCTGCATGATTCTCTCCTTTGAAGCTCCAGAGTCTATCATTTTTTCTCTTCTTTCTATTTTCTGCTTGACTATTTTTCTCAAGTTATCCTTGGCTTTCAAGAACCATCCAACCGTGACTTTAAGTCTTTTCCAATCTGAGAAATGCTGAAGAATTTTTTCAACACCATTGAAGGAAGACTGTATAAGGGTAGTGTTGATGCATTTTTTCACTTCCACATCGTTAACCCCAATAGTAGTATCAATGTCACAGTTCAAAAGCCAAAGAGATTCTGATTTCAGGAGGAATTCAGGTCCATGAAACCACAACTGATGATCTATGAATTTATCAATCACAGATATTCCTCTAGATGCACAGTCAGCAGGATTTTCTTTCGTGTTCACATAATGCCATTGATCAAAAGTTGTATGGGCGTTGATGATGGCAAGTCGATTGGTGACAAAGGTTTGGAATCTAGTCTTGGTGTTAGCGATGTAGCGAAGTACTGTTGTACTGTCTGTCCAGAAATGTGTTTTCTCTATAGGAAAGTCTAATTGCTCGTCCACCAGTCTACTTAACTTGACGGCTAATGTCGCAGCGGTGAGTTCCATCCTAGGAATTGTCATTGTTTTCAATGGTGCCACTCTTGATTTGCCCATGACGAAGGAACAATGTACATTTCCATGATCATCAGACATGCGCAAATATATAACAACTCCCATGCCAAGTGTGCTTGCGTCCGCAAAACAATGTAACTGGTATAACACAGAATGTCCAATATTCCCTGGCTTGTAACATCTTTCAATTTTTACATCTTCCAGATGTTTCACTTGCATGAGCCAGCTGTTCCATTTCTTTAACATGGTTCCATCGATTTCATCATCCCATCTTACACCATCTTTACACAGCTGTTGGAGTATGGATTTAGCTGTCAAAACAAATGGCGCTACAATGCCGAGTGGGTCATAAATGGAACTTGTCACAGAAAGTATGCCTCTTCTTGTTGTAGGATGGTCCTTTAACTGTATTTGAAACCCTAAGGAATCGTCTTCCACGAACCAATAAACTCCAAGGGCTCGCTCAATCAGAGTTTCTTCATTCAGACTAAATTTTTTGATGTCTTCTGCTCTATCTTCTTCTGGGACGGATTTCAATACCTCCTTACAGTTACTTAGCCACTATGTTAACCGAAATCCTCCTTACAAAGGGCCATCAGATCCTTTATGAGGTATTTGGCTTTCTCCTCTGTATCAACTGATGCTAAGCAGTCGTCCACGTACATATTTTTCATTATGGTATTCTGTATGCTTTGATCATAGTTGTTACCATGTTCCTCAGCAGTTTTCTTCAAAGCATAATTGCAACAAGTAGGTGATGAGACAGCCCCAAAAATATGTACTTTCATCCTATACTGTTTAGGTTCAGCACTCAGATTTCCATCTTTCCACCAAAAAAATCTCATGCAGTCTCTGTCCTCTTCTGGTACTGCAACTTGATGGAACATAGACTCAATGTCACCTTGTACCGCAATACGTTCCTGTCGAAATCTTAGCACTCCTAAGAGACTGTTAGTTAAGTCAGGTCCTTGTGGTAGTTGACTATTTAGAGACACACCCCTAAACACAGCAGAACAGTCAAATACTACTCTTATTTTTCCTGGCTTCTTTGTATGATATATACCATGGTGAGGAAGATACCATACGCGTCCATCATCCCTTTGTAGTTGCATCTCAGGAACTGGCTCAACAAAGTCTTTCTCGAACAGTTTATTCATGAAAACAGTGTAATCAGTTCTAAATTGTAGATTTTTCAACATCTTCTTCTTCAAACATTCGAGTCTCTGTAGTCCTTGAATCATATTATTTGGCAAGCTCACAGAATTGTTTCTAAAAGGAAGTCCTATTGAGTAATGACCATTCACTTGTTTGATGGACTTTTCAACTTGGCTCAGAAAAGTTTTGTCCTCCACTGAATGCTCTTTCTTTTCTGCTATCATGTGCTCTGGAAAGTCTGAGTTAATTGATGCCTTCACTAATTCTTCCAGCTTAGTGTCACATTCACAGTACCGCTCCAGTGTCACTTTGTTCACATCATATGATCCTGACCCGACTTCTCTCAGTACATTCCACACAATCCACCCCAAGCGCGTCCTTGTGGCGTGAGGAGATCCACTTGGTCCGGTTACCACTTCAAATGGAGCATAAGCGTCTGGGACATTGCTGCCAATAAGAAGGCCAATTTCAGCAGCAACATTTGGGAGCGTTATGTTTGATAAATGATGCCACTTTGAAATTTCTTCCTTTTTAGGAATATGTTCATGGGTGACAGGCATCCTGTCTTTCGTATAAATTTTTGGAAGATCTATGAATTCCGTCATGTTCATATCACAGAGTTGTAGGCCTCTGACAGACTGGGACACCAACTGATGTGGTTCTCCAACTGTGTTCAGAGTGATGTTACATTTCTTTTCACTAACGCCTAGTTGTCGCATGAGGTTTTCAGAACAGAAAGTAACGCTGCTACCCGAGTCAAAGAATGCGTATGTAATGACACTATGGTTCTTGTTTTTCAACTTAATTCTCACAGGAATTATCGCCATGGCCGATGTTTGTTCTCCGGCCCCAACATCACAAGAAGCACCGACATCAGAATTCCCTGTTTGGATGACAGATTGATCAACGTTAGAACTTGATGAAACTGAGTTGTTGTGTTCTTCCCTATTGATTGGATAATTCGGTGTTGATCTTGATGGGTCATGAAGAATGGTAGGGTGTTGACGTCCACATGAAATGCATTTAAGTCTGTTTCTACATTTCTTGGTTACATGTCCCTTTTTCAAGCATCCATAGCAAAGTCCTTTATTTTTCATAAAGTTATATCTCTCTTGAATACCAATTCTTTGAAATCTGTAACAATCGATCAACACGTGGCCAGCACCACCGCAAAATTCACATTTCAATACTAATGCTCCAGGTGATTCCTTTTCACTACTTAGGCCTCCTGATGCAACTGTTCTTTTCTGGTGCTTATCAGGCTGTGAACGTGAATTTCCACTCAACGATGAAACTCCATATATGGGATCATTAGATTTCTTTGCCTCAGTCTTCACAAAGGTCACAAAGTCACTAAATCCTATTCTTCTCTTAGTCTCTTTAATTTTGAGAACTGCAGTTCTCCATCGATCGTGTAGATATATCGGAAGTTTTGACAAAAGTCTTTTAATATTTTCAGCATAGTCCAGAACTGACACACAGTCAATGCTTTCTGACGCGTTTTGACATTCTACCAGGAACAATGCAAATTCGTCTAACATTTTTGCATCTTTGATCATAGGCAAATCAAGAGCTTTCTTGATGAATGATGTCACTATCAGTTCACAGTCTCCGTATCTTTCTTCCAATTGCTTCACTGCTGCTTGGTATCCTTTATCTCCAGACGTGTGTGTATCCAGATACGACACGGTTTGCTTCACCTTGCATCATCTGTTCCAAATAATTGAGACGCTCATCATCATTACTGGTGTTCATCACTACTTTTGCGTGAAACTGTCCCATGAATCGCCGAAATTCCAATGGATTTCCACTGAATTTTTTAATTTCTGGCAATGGTCTTCTTAGGTAGTTCACAACATCCTGCATTGCATTTTGTTGTTTTGTTTCCATTGAAATGTTTGGCACAAAAACACTGGCGTTTGGATTGAGTTGTTTTTCTGACACAGAAATTTGGGAACCAAGTTCTGCATCCTTGCCTATGATTCTGGGGGATGGCATAGGTGGATTTCTTCTAGGTGTAATTTCTTCTTCACCAAATTTATCACTGTGAGTGTCAATAATTTCACTTTCTAGCTCGTACTTTTGTAAAACTTCAGTCTTTGCATTAGAAATTGCAATATCTGTCTCTATGTTAAATTCTTCTTCCTTAAGTGTAAGTTCTAATTTGGCCAATTCCAATTCCTTTCGTTTCTTTAACGACGCTTTGCGTGCTTTTGTTCTTCCTTAAGTTTTTCAAGGGAAACACAAGAAGATTTCGTTGTTCTAGAGTTTCTACTTTGTGCTTTGTTTACACTATTCACATTCATTGTTTCATTTTTCACAGTATCTTGATACGAAAAGAATGCTTCTACTTCTTTCTTAAAATTTATCAAGAATATGTCATAATCTTGATGATCTAACAGCAATTTGCTTTTCTCTTGTTCATCCTCTGTCTGGGTTTTAAGAACATCAAATAAGTTTAGAAAGTGTTCATAATTATCCAACCAGGAACTATACCTCTTTCTTATAAGTTCAGTGTCTTTATTCTCTAACATCAAATTCTTTATTTGTGTTACTGACGATTTTAATTTTCTAAAACTGTCATAATATTCTTGTAATTTGTATGACCTGGCCTTTTCTGTAAGTTTTTTGTTTTACCTACTTGGTCGTGATTCTCAGGCCTCAGCCCTTGGTAGTTTACCATCTTCTGTCATGGCTGCCGTCCGGTTCCAATAGTAGAATAATCACGTCAATGTTGTAGTGCTATGACACTGTTTTCCTTTCATATTTCTCAAACTGTCACATTCATTTCCCATCATTTATTTCCATCAACATAGGTAAAGGAAAGGGAAAAGATAGACTACAACAAAAAAATAAACAGAACTTACAATGCTGTACATTATATAAATATGACCGAAATGATGCACCATACGACTGACTGATAATACTGAATACAATAAATATGAATACTTTATGTAATAAACTAGTAATGCATGATGGTGTTGAATAATTTAAGTGAATAGAAATGTATAAATGACGTTAACATCTAACGTGTGAGAACGCTAATTTACATCATATACTCAAACTGAAGATTAACCTTGTTTACTCCAAAAATACAGTATACAAAAAGATATGAAGTTAACACTGCATAAAAAAGGTAATTACCGTGATTATTTTCCAACTCATCCAAAAATCTAAGGTAAAACAGCTCAAACTCACTACAGCTTTGGGTAAACATCGAAAAATCGTGCAAATATGGCGGGTTCACACGTCAAGATTGAAAATTCATATTCTGACAAAATTGGATAAATAAATTGATGCGGATAAATTTGGACAATAATATAATATCAATCTTACATTACCCTTGTGCCTTCATCATCAATACGCAACCTTTGCCATTTCCAGGAGAACATTGGGTCGCTGTAATCATACACAGTTCCTCGGAGGCCGACTTTTTCGAAAGTGTAGGGAAACCACCTGGGAATTACCAAGAGATTGAGAACTTTATTAAAAAGAATAGTGAATACTGTACCTTTAAATGTAAACGACTTCAACCTTCCTATTCAGATTTGTGTGGGCTTTATGTACTTGTGTTTTTAATATCTAGATTGTGTCTTAAAATGTCTTTGCCACGTGTAGTATTCAATTAATTGATGAATTTGTACATGGTTTCATACATGAATTCTTGTATCAATAAACATGATATACGACATGGGTGAGTTCTTATAAATACTCGTTCAGTTTTACATGTCAATTCATCAGAGAATCAGTAGAGGAAAGGGAAACATGGCAACACAGCGCGAATGGTGGAAAACAAAATCCTTACTACCATTTTCAGCACCCACCACAATTTTAATTTGTGGTAGTACGCAAAGCGGAAAGACACATTTCACTAAACGACTCTTGCAAAATGCAGATGGCATGTTTTCCACTTCTGTAGATAAAATCATCTATGCTTATTCTGAATATCAACCCATGTTTGACGAAATGATGGCAAACATACCGAGATTTATTCTTCATCAAGGATTACCCTCCAAGGAAGACACAGAGCAGTATACAGAGGGTGTAAACCACACGATAGTGGTATTAGACGATCTTATGCTGCAAGTTGCGCAATCTCAAGATTGTGTACATGTATTTACTGTGACTTCTCATCACCGTAACGTTACCACCGTGATGCTCTCTCAAAACTTGTACCCTCCTGGTAAATATGCCAGGACCATATCCCTGAACTGTCTAAATGTGATTTTATTCAAGAATTACCGTGATTCCCACCAGATCATGACCTTCGGATCACAAATAATACCAGGATGTGTACCATTTTTCAAAGCTGCATACGAAGCTTCAACACGTCCAAATTTTGGCTATTTGCATGTGTATTTAGAACCTACCCAGAACAAAGAATACCAACTGCGATCCCACATCTTGCCTGGAGAGGACATGGTTATTTATCAACCCCTATAAATACATGTACTTGATCACAATTTGTTCATATTGCAGAAATGAATCGAAGAATACGGAAGCAGAGAGCATTTATACATTTTATGCTAAGTGCAAACAGCACTCAACAAAAATTGATTGTTAAGTCTTTGACTAGTGAACAATACGATGTTATCAGTGAAATAGCCCTGAATATCTACACGGGAACTTATCCTCTGACTAAGAAGTATATAAATCAGTTGAAACCTTACCAATCGTACATTCGATCACTGGGATCGAGAGAAGTCAGTACGAAACAGAAACGTGGGATTTTATTAAAACATCAGCAATTAGTATCACTGTTACTGAAACCTATTGTTCATCATATTGTCAAGAATGGCGAGAGAAATGATACTAGTACCTAAATTAAAATACGAACATCTTCTTAAAAAAATGGAGGATAAAGAAGAGCCTGTTTATCCAGACACCATGAATGACGACAAGGATCAAAAACAAATGTCTGAAAAGACAACCGATACAACGTTGAGTGAATCAATCAATGACACCTCACAGACAGGGAGTGGTTACGTCAGTAGAACTCAAACAATAGGAAAACCTCCTGGTGTGTCCATGAAACGACGCAAACAAACACATTCCTTGGCTTACGTACTGAGTGTTAAATTGGAAGAAAAAGACTGTTCTTTTAAAAACAAATTTTATTGTATATACTGTAATGCATATTATTGTAAATGATAATAAATACATTGAATTGTAATGTGAATATTAAAATAAAAATGGGTATTAAAATGTACATCTTTATTTTCATGGTTTTAACAATATCCAAATGGCAGCGTATCTAAATTGGGCAGAATTCTCCTTTTGGTGTAAACCATTTGATATCGTTTGGTTTCTATGCGGTTTAACAATTTTCTTTTCCGACTGTCCCTGGATATTTTACAGGGGTTGATAATTTCAATTTTGCTTATCTTGTGCTGTACAGATAAAAAGATTAGATAGCTTCAAACTTGATCACTTTAGAGTTAGCCCGGTTTAATGTAAACCCTCGAACTTTACATTCTTCCCTGCCAGAAAGTGTACGGTATGCATAATTTTTGGGACCCCCCGACACAAATTCCACAATATGACCATTTTCTGGTTTGATCTCGTTGGTCAATTCCCCTAAATAGTTTCCAATAGGCAGATAATGCAAATCGGCCGACTTTTTGGGTTTGAAAATGACACTGTCTGTATCGATATACGGAACGTTTTCCGTCAACCGATCTAATACACCATATAAGCGTAATCGCGCATGCGCAGTAGTGAAACTTGCCAAAAATATGTTTGTTTTGCAATCCGGGGGCAAAAACATGGGATGATTACTCTATTCAAATTGAAGAGTGTCCCTAGAAACAATGTGAAAATTAAGAGGAACTTTAGTAGGATCTGAGATAATCCGAAAAAAATCATCACATTCGGATTCGTGAAAGAACATGGATTGTTTCATGCTTAGTCTCTGACCAAATTTCCCCCAAAAACTATTAAGACAGAGTTTGGCTAAACAGCGCAAACCTGGATTTTTCTGAATTTTCTTTGTATTGTCGAATGTATTCCCGTTCTGACTCTTCGCTGCCACACACGGGAGGAAATCCCGAGGCTTCTTATTTAATCTTAAGGAACGTATTGACGTACTTTGCAAACAGATCCCCCTCACCCGCCGAAGGGTCATATTGAGACGATTGCTCAAAATGATAGACCTCATAAATTTTTTAAATTTGGTACCCTTTTGACACTGCCATTTGGATTTCGGGAGTACACCACGTGCCCGTGATGGCTCTTTCCTCTACAGAGCAAGTACATTCATGCTGATTTTCAGAGTCCGCACACGTTCGACACAGAGGAAATTTCGGTTTTCCTTGGGAGCGGCACGGAAGCACGGGGTGGTACAATTTTCTAGGTGGCAGGACTTCGATTTTGGCAAGGCCGAAATAATTTGACATGTCCCGAAAATCATTCGTGATAATGGTCGGATGACCCAGGGGATAACGACAGTATTTATTTGTCCAACGGTAGAGACTGGTAAAATCGTAATACTGAATGGTTTCGTCCTCTTTAGCTTTATAATGGAGTTTTATGGCATTGGTGC